GCAGTGCATGGGGGCCATATGCGGCGTCGGAATCGTGAAGGGCATCATGAAACACCAGTTCAACAGGTTCGGCGGCGGGGCTAATGTGGTGGCTCCAGGCTACTCCAAGGGCACCGCGCTCGGCGCCGAGATCATCGGCACCTTCTTGCTCGTCTACACCGTCTTCGCCGCCACCGACCCCAAGCGCCGCGCTCGCGACTCCCACGTCCCGGTATGTGATTCGTCTCACATGCATGACTCACTCGTCATCCATGCACCCACACGAACGCTCCATTTCTCTGAACGAGATCGTTGTGCTAAAGCTTTCGTCATTGTGGTGCAGGTGTTGGCTCCTCTGCCCATCGGGTTTGCCGTGTTCATGGTTCACTTGGCCACCATTCCCATAACTGGCACGGGCATCAACCCCGCTAGGAGCTTCGGACCCGCCGTCATTTACAACCGGCACAAGCCCTGGCATGATCACGTCGGTCTCTTCACGTCTCCAAAGTCCTTTACGTGATTTCCTTTTTGCCTCGAGCGATCGATTCATGAGTATAATTTCTTGCGTTGTGCATGCGTCGGTGCAGTGGATCTTCTGGGTGGGTCCGTTCGTCGGAGCACTGGCGGCGGAGGTATACCACCAGCACGTGTTGAGGGCGGCGAACGTCAAGACTTTGGGCTCGTTCAGGAGCAGCCGGAGCAACTGTTAGTGTGTGAAACTAAAAGAGCAGCACTGTTGGTGTGTGAAGGTGGTCTGAAGCCTGCGACATGGATTGCTTGTGGAGTTTCTCTTTCCTTTGGGTTTCTTTTTCCTCACTGTTCTCCTGTGGACTCTTCGATTTATTGTCCAAACTAGCTTTGTGATGGGTGACATGATGTTTCCCTGTTTGGTTTGCCCGTGGAGGGGACTGTCGTCCTGCTTAGGAGCACCGTTCAAATATATCTTGACGATGAAGGTGTCTTCTGGCATTCCCCGGAGACTAATCCCCATTTGTTCTTGAGCTGTAAGGCAAATTACCTTTGGTGACGGTGAACAGGGAGATGCCGAAAGTGCTTTAGCCCTGTAAGTTGGATTTCTGGTGCCAAAGGTTTCATGTTCCATTAATTACTCCTCGTTTCACAAACACAACTTACTAATTAATTTTCAGAAACCCTTCCAATTAAACTCTGTAAAATGGATCATTTTTGTTCACTGCAGTGAATCTCACATCTGATGGGGGAAAAAAATGGAATCGATTTATATGATCAGATGACTCCGTCATTATTAGTTTGAAGGATTAATGATCATTATAATTACTACCGGAAAACTTTGTTTTCTCTTGACTTAAGTTTTACCCTCTCATTATCTTGACAGCTGTTATTTGTATCTATTTCTTTCCTATTATAAGAATATTATTGATTTCCTATTTCTTTCCGCCGTATCTCCCTCGGAGATATGGTGTGGGCCCCCTTGAATGTGTGGCCATCCTGGTGGGTACCCGCTTGCGGTGTTTTTGGCCTTTTGGCGAACTCGATGATGGGCCGATCCCAGCCGTCGGATGCTTGCACGTAAAGGTCAGCCGGGTGGGCCCGGACAGCGAAGTCCCGACATGGACACGAATGACCTTGACACGTGTGCCGGGCCCCATGCACGCGCTGTCCGGAATGCGGACTGTCCAACCACTACGCTGCCGCCCCCATGACCGACGCCTCCGTCGCCACCCTCCTCCTCTCTGGCCACGACGATACTCCTGCTGCTGCTGCTGCAAGACCATCAGTGCGAGTACATCATGCCTTGTTCCGTCCATTTCTCATTCCTTCTTCTTCTTCTTCTTCTTCATGCGGTAACCGGTCAGTCTGTCCCTCTGGTTCTGAGCTCTTGGATGTGGCGGAGGAGATGGGCCACATGACATGGTCGGTCTCCTACGACGCAGAGCCTAGATGCCGCTCGCTATGCAAAAGGCTAGGTTTTTAGCTCAGTGGTGTGGGCGATGGTGGATCACGAGCTCCCACTTCGCATGTTTAGGACATGAGCCTGACAAGTTTCTGTCAGTCTCCTTGGTTCATCATCATCATCCTGCACCAGGATTCATCTCTTCTCCTTCGCGGGAAGGCGGTACTGCTCAACATCGTCATCCTCCACCCGAACGTCCCTGCTCCACTTCCGAGTGCAGGTCTCCGCCATGTGAGCTCCAACTCATGCTTTCGTAGATCCCAGTCTGATGCCTTTTGACAGCAAACGCGACGGTGTGTGGCGACGCAGAGGCGCCGCTTTTTATCCCGACATGTCATTAGTAACCGCTGCCGGGCTTCGGAAAGAAAGCCACGAAGTCACGACACCAGACGAGGAGGAAGAAAGAGAGAGAGAGAGAGAGATGTGACTCGTCGTGCACATGGTTGCGCTGTAACTGGGCCCTGTCACCTCTCTCTGTCGCCGCTATCACGTCTGCAACACCACCCAATAATAATGCACCTTTGGCTTCTACATTATAAATCTCCACCACCTCGTCTTCCTCCGTGCTGCAATCAAACATCCGTAGCTGGAGAGGAGAGAACAGAGTAGAGTAGGGAGATGTCGAAGGAGGTGATGGCGGAGGCAGAGCACCCGCCGGCGAAGGACTACCATGATCCTCCGCCGGCGCCGCTGCTGGACCTGGGGGAGCTCATGCTCTGGTCCTTCTACCGCGCACTCATCGCCGAGTTCATCGCCACCCTGTTGTTCCTTTACGTCACCGTGGCCACCGTCATCGGCTACAAGGCACAGTCCCAGGACGACCAGTGTGGCGGCGTCGGCATCCTTGGCATCGCCTGGGCTTTCGGCGGCATGATCTTTATCCTCGTTTACTGCACCGCCGGCATCTCTGGTTCTGGCTTCACATTTCTCTCTCGACTCGTTGGATTTTGGAGGAAGTGCCACTTGTTTTAAGCTGCTGTTTGCTCCTCATCAGGTGGACACATAAACCCGGCCGTCACGTTGGGTCTGTTCCTGGCGCGGAAGGTGTCGCTGCTTCGCGCGGTGATGTACATGGTGGCGCAGTGCTTGGGGGCCATATGCGGCGTCGGGATCGTGAAGGGCATCATGAAGCACCAATTCAACGCCTTCGGCGGCGGGGCAAACTCTGTAGCCGCAGGATACTCCAAAGGCACCGCGTTCGGCGCCGAGAGCATCGGCACCTTCGTGCTCGTCTACACCGTCCTCTCCGCCACCGACCCCAAGCGCAGCGCCCGCGACTCCCACGTCCCGGTATGTGATTAATCTCACACGCACGACTCGCTTTGCGGCGATGCACCGGCCACACGAACGCTTCATTTCTCCGTGTTGCAGGTGTTGGCTCCGCTGCCCATTGGGTTCGCTGTGTTCATGGTTCACTTGGCCACCATTCCCATAACTGGCACGGGCATCAATCCGGCGAGGAGCTTCGGAGCCGCCGTCATTTACAACCAGCACAAACCCTGGCATGACCACGTCAGTGTCTTCGCGTCTCATAGATCCTGCTCTGCCAATCTCTGTTTCGTTTATCTTCTTCGAGTCTGATTTGGTTCGTGCATGCTTTGGTGCAGTGGATCTTCTGGGTGGGTCCTTTCGTCGGAGCTCTGGCGGCGGCGGTGTACCACCAGTACGTGCTGAGGGCGGCGGCACTGAAAGCTTTGGGCTCGTTCAGGAGCAGCCGCAGCAACTAAAACAGCCGCTGCACCTTTGCGTTCCCTTCTCCGTCTGCCTTTTGTTAGCATGTGAAAGTGTTTGCTTTTTGTCCTCAACTCTGTTGCCCTGTGGACTCCTTAATTCATTCTCTTAAGCAGCTTTTAGTGGGCTACATAATGTTTTAACTCATTTGGCTTTTGTTTGATTTGCTTGTGGAGGGGACTGTAATATTTTTCAGATGACTATTATTATTATTATATCTTTTTAGCTTTGTTTTTGCTGCAATTATGGGATATTACATTCCCTAAAGACTGGCCATTGACCTCAGATCAATCCCACTCTCCTCTATTTCATCAAAACAATTCATACAAATCTATTAAAAAGAATTAAACAAGCATATGAAGCTTAGGAATCAAAAATCAAATCACAAGTTCAACAAATCAGACACAGACAAAAGAGTCTATTATATGTTCATGTTCACTGCTAAGCTCATGATGTCAGGGGTGGCAACGAAGCTACAGAACACAATAGTACAAACATTATTATCTGTTCCCTTTAGGAGTGGGAAAGTTTGTGCAGCACAGTGCATAGATTCCTTTGCCTACACTTAGAATTGACATGCATGACAATTCACCTAACCCTGGCAACCTCCAAAATAACACACAGTCAAGTGATTTCTTCTGCTTGTCATAACATCACCATCATCTTTGTTTTGGTCTCTGAAAAATATTGTGCAAAAGGTGGAATATTTCAGGAAACACATGGTGTTGGTACTATTGGGTTCTTTTGTCTCCAAATGATGCAAATGATGATTCCCCTCAACAGCTCCTTTTCAATCATTATTAAGCAGTTCTCAGAACAGTCAAAGTAAGCTATAAAGCTTGATACTGTGATGTGGAGATCCTCTCCCTCTTGTAAAGGTTTTCTTCTGCTACTCTAATTACATTCTCAGTGTTGTCCATATAATCTTTTTCTTATAACAATAATAATTTTTTTATCTGATTGAGATTTATAATAAAAAAATTATATATTTAATTAAGTTAAAATTATTTTAATATTTATTTATAATCTTTATAATTTTTTTTAAAGTCTTTGTCTATATTTGTACATCACATCTTATGTTCATACCATATTAAATAAATTTTATAATAATTTTCATATCTCAATGGTATGAATATATATATATATATACATATATATATTATTTAAAATCTAATACATATAAAATATTATTAATCTAATAACCATCTTATAAATTTTGATATTTAATTTATTTGATAAATGATCATCATAAGTATCATTATTGTTATTCTTCAATTTTAGAGAGTTTAAACCACCAATAAGATGTTGAGGTATGGAGAAGAACATATAGTATAAGAATGTTTGCTTTGTGCATGAAAAGGACTGCTAACAGTCATTATTCTTTCTCTCATTGACCTTTTGTTTCGATGAATAGTTGACCAAATATTGACAGCTATAAAGTATCTTTTTCTTTGTCTCAGAATGGCAGGCTTTTACAAATCTGACTTCAAATCCTCCGAAGGATTGAGAAATGGAGACGAAGACGGAGCCAATCAATCAATGTTGTGGGATACATCGATCACCAGCCCACCCAGTGATGCGTCGTTCATCATTCAATAATACAGCGAGCCCCACAAACCCATGGTCAAACCCAAAAGCCACACCGGCGCTCCTCGGGGGGCCGCACCGCCCTGCGCCGGCGTCTGCGCCTCGACGCCCCCTTGGGAGCTCGAATTCGCCACGCTGATGCCGAACTTCATCCCGCCCAGGCAGTGCCCGCTGGTGTTGCATATGAACCAGTACGTCGTCGCCTCCTCGAGGGCGACGCGGTCGGCGCCGCTCGCGTACCTCCTTAGCACGCCGGAGCTGGAGTTGCACGACCTGTACGTCTCCTCCGTCACCTGATACACGTCGTGCTGCCCCGCCAGGTACCTGAAAACTACATCACGATGAAGCTGTAGTGATCGTCGCTGGTACGCACACACACGTACGTCGTCGATGTATAGAACATACCGAGAACGTCGCCGACGGTGAAGTTGTACTTCTCGGACCAGGTGAGGTAGTTGGTGCCGGTGTTCCACCCGTCGTCGTCGCCGACCGTGTAGTCCGTGGCCGCGACGTGGTGAAGCGCCATGAGAGGCAGTAGGATGAGGGCAAAGATGGCGTCGCGCAGGAAGAGGAGGGAAGGCATGACTTGTGTTGATGAAAGAGGAAGAAGACGCGCAGGTTCTGTGGATTGAATTTGGTGTGGGGTGCCGCTTTAGGTAGTTGGATAAGGGATTTAATTGGAAGAGTCAAGTCTACCAGGAAGTGCTGCACCAGTTGCTCTCCCATTATAGAAGACACAAGCTTCGAGCTGTCTTCCTCCTCAGTGTTTGTTTGTCAATTCCTTCACTAATCTTCATGTCTACTTTGACATTGGACGGTTCTAATTCGATTATTTTTTTTATCTAATAAAAATAGAATTTTTAGGATATGATAAGTTCATTTTGTTTGAGCAATATAAGAACCAAGAGCTCGTAAGTCCGTCAGATCTCCCTTACCCTCAAAATTACTTTTTAGAACTCATTTAAATCACCATAAGCTCATTAAATCCAATTTCTCAATTATAATATTTTTAATAGATTTATAATATTTTTCAAACCACTATAAGCTGAGTCATAAACACTAAACTAATATGAAAATCTTCCTATTTATTTATTTTCCTTCCTAAAATTGTAAACTTATATATTTAAAAAAATTATTTTTATAATACTTTTGAATAACCTTATAAAGGTGTAAAAAACAGCATAAGTATTACATCATAAAATAGGATCAAAACTCACAAATAAACATCATTATCCATCAATCTAAAAAATAAGCTAAAATCATATTACTATAATAAATTATATAATGTGAAAGAGTTAGGCCTAACCCACTTTGGCCCAATCAGCCCACAAAGCCGTTCCCGGTTGTTCCCATTCTAGAATGTTCTCCGATGCGCACCGTTCTCCTTTTTTTCCCCCGGAACTCGTCCCCTGGCGTCTGTCACCCGGAAGGCACCCAACGTGGGCCCTGCTCGGTCTCCGAGGCGGTTCGCCAGGACCAACCCAGGAGAATCGCAGACCATATATATAAAACGTTCCCCGTTACAAACACCCCCCAAATGAAACAGCGGCACGCTACATACCGTTGGATGCAAGCAATCGCGGAAGCGAAGGGGAATGGAAACCCTTCACCTCGACCCGGTGGTGCCTCCCTCCTCCTCCTCCGCCTCCACCGCCCCCCGTGGCCTCTTCACTGCCGCCGAGCTCGCGGCGGCGGAGCGACTCGTCCAGCTCAGCGCCAACAGCGGCACCCTCTCCGTCACGGCGACGGCGGAGGACCGGACCTCGTCTTCGTCTCCGCGGTCCGTCAACGCACGGCCACCGTCCCAGGTGACGATCCCGATGGAGAACGTGGAGGAAGACGACGACGAGGAGATACGGCCCAGGAGGAGGACGCCGCGGTACCGGCCGATCGCAGACATCTACGCGGCCACGCGGCCCGTCGATCGCGTCACGAGGATGTGTGGCGTGCAGCGGCGCGAGAAGAAGAGGACGAGAGGAGAGGATTAGCGACGCCGAACTTATGGAAGAGTCGATGTGCTCTCCACCCCATTACGTTTGGGGTTTCTTTGTATCAGATTCGCCCCTTAGAGAGAGAGGGAGCCATAGAGGAAGAGAGACTCCTATGTAGCCTTTAGTTGTTATTGTTATTGTTGTTGAGAGAGGGAGAGAGAGAAAGAGAGAGTCGTGTAAACTATTGATGTTGGAATTATGGCACAAGATCTGCCTTTTGTGATCCCTAATGCACATAAGTTTTAGCTTTCATGTTGTGGTTTGCAATAAACACGTCTGTATGCCTCCTTCAAAACAAACCGATGGCATGTTTCCTTGCGCCCGTTTCAATAAAGGTCTATATATATATATATTATTGGTTTAGGTGTGTTCAGTGTTAGAACACAATCACAAATTACACATATGAAGCTAACAAGAAGTATAGAGTTTAGAGCGAAGGAATATGAAGGCGTTGAAATGCCATCCTCACTCTAAGAGGAAATTGTCAATGAGGAAAACGAAGGAAAACAAGTACATAGAAACACGCAGAGCGCCACCGTTCCTTTCATGCTCACCCGCGAGACAACGGAAACACGACTCGTCATGGAAGTAATCGAGTCGGCTTCCTTTTTCCTGATCCCACTCGGATTTCCATTCAAGCTTACATTGATATCTCCACGAAACCCAACCCACCCCTTCTCTTCCCTTCCCTTCCCTTCCTCTTCCTCTTCGAGCCCCTAACGCACCAAGAGAAACCAGAATGGATGCACTTTTGGGAGCCAACCTCGCGATTCTCCCTTCCTTCTCCGGCGATCTCTTCACCCCCGCCGAGCTATCTGCCGCGACGCAGCTCGTCCAGCTTCGCGGGAGCACCCGAGGTGAGTCGTCGGCGCCGCAGAAACCCACCTTCTCGCCCTCCGTCTCATCCTCCCTCAGCTCCGTCGGCACTCGGCGGAAGGCCCCACTGGAAACAGAGACGGGGGAGGAGCTGTGTCCACGGCGGAGAAAGAAGTGGCGGTACCGCCTCGTGGTCGATCTCTACGCCGCCGCGGAACGGGTGGTGTGCAGCGACCACTGAAGACGAGATGGAATCGTACTCGTTCCTAGCTAACTTGGTTAGCCTGCAGTATTCTGCCTTGCCAAATGAAAACCTAAGAAACGCATGCCTTCTCGTTGTACTCGTGCAGCGCCTTGCTTGTGCGTGTTGATGTGCTTCCTTGAGGTAAAAGAAAGCTGACTTCATGTCATCCACGCACAAACAACTGCCAAATCTACCTGTAGGTTCAAGCCCCGCCCATTGCGCCACCTCGAAAGGCCCTCCGCGTTCGCTCCTACGGCGGCCGGCAGGGGCGGTGTCGACGCTTGCGTCATCCGGTCCAAGAAGAAACCGAGGAAGAAGAAAGCGTCGGTGAGGACGAAACGTTACGAGGCGTGTTGGACAATTTCTACTACGCGGAACCAACGGCAGCAACTCTTTTTAATGTTATCGATCGCTGTTTTCAGGAAACACTTTCCGGAATCTGAAAACAACAGCTAATTATCATTTTGTCGGTCTAATTGTAGGTTCAGACCAATTTAATTATAGTTCAACTAATTAATCGGTCTTCATCTAGATTTAGGAATTAATTATAGATAATCTTATATAATTAATTATCTTTAGTATTTCGATCATTATACTTTTAAAAATTATATTGAGATTTCTATATTAAAAAATAAAATATTAAAATTTTTATATAGAATTAAAAAAAATTATAATAATAAAAAATTAAAAAAATTATTGAAGCAACGGAAACAAATATTTTATTTTCATAAGTATAAAAATCTCAATATAAAAATAATTAATTATAGTAGATAATATATAATTAACTCATTTGATCAATAAGAAAGATGCCGGTCTGATGACATATATCTAACCCGGTCCACACGGCCCCACCCCGATTAATGGTTCTCAGTTTTTAATCGAATCCGGGCCGGAATCGATTGGAGCTCTACCTATAAATGGACCCCCGCCGCCCCCCACCTTAGAGCGACGCTTCATTGGTTTGTTTTGCTTCCTCCAGTCACCGATGGCTCCTCGCCTCCCACATCTCGTCGTCGCCCCCAAGATCGGGATCCCGCCACATTCGCGATAGTCGTCGAGGTTCGAAACCCGTCGCCGCTCCTCTTATTTTCCGGTTGATCACTTCTCTAATAATCCGGCGACAATACCCGTCTCGTGGGATCTTTAGCTCCGCAGTCGGCGTCAAACCCTGGACGCTTTCTGTCTTTAGATTGGTCTTTGCATAAACCTTGCGGTTTGTTGGTATCGATACTTGTGTCTGTAGGATTCAAGACCAACTTGGATAGGTGTGGGTGAGAACCGTAGTGTTAGCTTGCCATCCTTGTAGACGATTTACATTCGATTTTGATCTGTTTTAGGTATGGTATTTGAGCAGGGCTTCCTTTCCATTTGTCATGATTCAACTCCACAATGTGCAACACTAGGGCTTATTTATTGCCTCTTTGATAGTTATAGGGGGATTTGTGATTTCTTTTGGGTCACTTCTGAGAAGTATGATTGCTGAGGTTAGTTTCCGTGAACTCAATATTTGACCTGAAGTTTCAGCTTCTTTTTCAGACCATAGTAGGATAGGGAGGATCAGACCATTCTAAGAACGGTGAATCTTTTGTCTTTGTGAACTCTGTTGGTTCTCATTTTTTTAGTTTGAATATCAGCAGCTTAAAAATGATACAAATCAGATGCAGAAACTCGTTTGAATATTTGTTCTAGCTAGTGATTCTTGTTCATGTTCGATACAATGTTTATTCCACTTGGGCTTTAGAGTTTTGTTGTACCAACAGAAAAAGATATTAATAACCAAAATTAAGAATTTAAGAAACTTAAAACTGGAATAACTGATGGGAAAAAAAAAGATTTGGTTTGTATGCTTTCTGATCAAAAGTTTGTTTGGTACTTTGCTAACTTAAATATATCCTGAAACATTGTCCAGGATATGGGCTGCTGAACAGGAACTGGTACTGATGTTGAGGCCATCACATATATTGATTGCATGGACAATACTGCTAATTTTTTTTAATCATCTGACTATTAGCTTATAAAACTGATCTTGCCGTTCCTGTTCTGAAAAATAGTTTACGACAGTCACTCACTCATCTGTCTTTCAGGTTGGATCAGAGGAAATTTATATTGTTGATCGAGACATTGGAGTTCTTGATGCTGCTGCTACTGGGGAAACAGGTTGGTTTATCTGATAACAATTTCATTTTGATTGAAACCAATCATTTCTTATTATTTCATCTCCTCTCTTCATGTTTGTGATATGTAAGTATTCTATTTTTTAGGAAGATATGATAGAATCTTACAAAGAGAAATAGGACTAATTATAGATTATATTATGTAATTAGTTACCTTTAGCTTTACATTTTCAAAAATTATATTGGGATTTCTATACTTATGAAAATGAAATATTGAAATCCTTATAAAAAATTAAAAAGATAGATTTAGAGTTAAAAAATCAAGAAAAAAAGATCTTATTAGAGCAATGAGTCAATTGTTTCACTTTTCAAAACATAAGAATCAAGATGTTAAAGCTACCTAATTACAGGAATAATCTGTAATTAGTCCGAAAAAAGAGTGGATGAGCCACTTGCAGTATCTCTTGCCGATCTTGATTATGGTACCAAATTGGCGACTGAATTGTTTTCTGGGGCTAAGAAACACTTAGAGCCATCAGGTCTAATCACAAGGCAGACATTAGACTTTTCTGAAAGTACACCAGATGGGGAGGATGGGAATAAAGGGTCTGATGTCTCAGATGGTCTTATTGCTGAAAAGCATGCATGACACCATCGAAACAGAGAATCATATATAAGCAACAGAAAAAGGCTGAAGTGAAAGTTGAGGAGAATTTAGAGGAACCAGCACCAATGGGATTGCATGATGGCAGTAAAAAATCATACACAATGGATGATCCATGTAAATTCAAGCACTTTGATATTTCAGAAAACCCTTTGGATCATCGTTTTCTTGGTGATGCCTAAATGGTAATTGACATTTTCATGCAACTCATTTTTTAAAGGCAAATTTCATTATTGATTCAATATATTGTAATCACTGTTTGCCTGATCGATCACTGTGTCTGGATACATGATTTTCCTATATGGATGTTTGTGCTCTTTATATAATTTCTGTGGCTGTCCTAATATGGATACTTTTATAAAATAAAAAAAAATGCAGAGCATTGTTGGTCGACCGGCTTCAAGTTAACACCAGCAGAAAATTTTGCGAGAGCTGCTTCCTGCACTGAATGCCACCAGTTTGAATATTTCCTCGATTCTGAAAACCCAAGATGGACATGGGTTCCTCATCCTCTGTTACTGCTACTGCTGCCTCGGCAGTTGAGGCGCCGGAGCTGGGGAGTCATGGGGGAGGAGAGGCCGGCCTTCTCGAAGATGGACTCGACGTCGGTGTTGTTCTTGAGGGCCACGTAGAGGCCGGCGATGAGATGAAGAAGTGGACGCCCGGGCCCACCTTCTCGTACTCCCGCAGTTGCACCGTGAACGCCATCTCCGGCGAGAGATAGTGCCAGGGTTTTCTGTGCCGGACGGAGCCCGGAGGGTTTTTGATAGCGGGTTCCAGTTTTTGCTGGGTTGAGGCGGAAGTCGACGAGGCCTTTGAAGAGCGGAGGGGAGGGAAGTGCGACAAAACAAAGCTTCTCCGTGCTGAATATGAATAATACTTGAAGAACGTTATCATTTCATAACGTAGACTATCGGCGGTCCCATTTTTATTATTGACCATCTCTTTTATTATTATTTTTTAAAAAATAATAAAATATTATTTTATTTATTATTAATTTTATTATTTTCTTCTCGAGAATCTCTTATTTCAGCTTCGCTATCAACATCGCTCTCTATCGATATTATAATCACTTGTTGCCTCGTTTATCCTTATTCTTTGAAAGAGAAGAAGAGGAGGAGAAGGAAAGAAAAGAAAAAAAGTATTTACCTTTGTTTATAACGGGATGATTTAAAAAAATTTAAAATGAGATTGTAAATAATACAAGAGATCTTTGTGAAATATGTTATGGATAAAACTAATATGATATTAATATTAAAAATATTTACTATTGATAAACTCTATAAAATAATAAAATATAATTATTCTATTTATAGTTCCTTAATTATCAATCATATCCATCAAAATCCTACTTGTGCTAACGTCGCTTATTGGCCCTCCATCGTTCGATGCTCACTACTCGGTACGTAAAGAAGAAGAGAAATATAAGGAAATTAATAAGTAGAAGAAGAAGAAAAGAAAATTGGGAAGATGGTGAATGCATATTTATATGTTAGGAATATTAAATTTTTTTTAAGATGACGTTATAAATAATAGAAAAATGATTATATACAAAAAAATTCATATTAAATAGGTTGTTAACATCTTTTTATTTGATAAGTATTAACTTTTTATTACATCATGGGGTCAAACCTATAAGAGATAGACATCCAAGAAAACATATGGTATAAGAAAATTTGAACCATAATATCTTGAAACGATCTAGTAACAAATTTTGATTATAATGCAGAGTCAACCTTAGTTCAAGTCCTAATATGTTAATGTTGGGAAGTAAGTGGGTTGGACAAGAAACCTTGCAAAACTTATTCATAGGATCCTACGATACTTATAATAAAGCAAGCACAAGACCTGAGGGAGCTTTTATAGAGGGCTTTAGTAATCGTCGATGCTAGTTAGTGAGTTAGCTCAATCGAGCAAATTTTAAGGATTTATTGGGCTTTATTATATTTATATTGTATTTATATACTACGTTAAAAACATTGATATGAGTCGGACATATTTTATAGTGTTACATTCATAAATAAATACTATGATAGCACTATCACACCACACCGATTACAATATTCAATAGATTTTTTGTAATATTAGGAAGTTCACTTGAATATATCCAGTGGACAATAATGTAAAAAATTAAAATTAAAATTAAATAAAATTTACTAACTCTATTTTAGGTTATTTAAGAATAGTGCATAAAATGATGATCGAAGAGATGAATTTTAAAATAACAATAAAAAAGAATATAGGAAGATAGATAATAATGGATGGAAATGTGTACCAATTTTGGTTTTCCAAATTAGAAAAGAATATAAAGAGCATTACATCGTCGCGGGCGATTCAAAAGTGCAACAAATAGACCGCAAGATGTCGATATATATACAGACCCAAAACAAAACAAAACCCCTCTCTCTCTCTCGCATTCTATTCTTTATTGGTTTCTTTGGCTTCTTCCAGCCATCGATACTTCTTGTCACGTCTTGTCGTCGCACTCAAGCTCGGGATCGCTCCGCCTCGTCGCCATCGGCCAACCGCCGCCTTCGCGATAGCCGTCGAGGTTCGAAACCCTTCTTCCTTTTTCTCGTCGTCAGTCCATCCGTTTGCCTCTGTCGATGACTTCACTTCTCTGGTGATCCCGAGAGCATGCCCGTCTCGTGGCATCTTTAGCTCAGCAGTCGGCATCGAACCCTCGACTTTTTCTGTCTTCAGATCGGTCTTTGCATAAACCTTGCGGTTTGTTGATGTTGATGTTTCGGTCTGTTGGACTTCAAGACCAACTTGGATACGTGTGGGTGAGAAGGCCAGTGTTTAGCTTACCATCCTTGTAGACGATTTATATTCGACTTCTATCTATTTAAGATAGGGTTTTTGAGCGGGGCGGCCTTGCCGTTTGTGAGATGATTCATGTCCCCATGTGGAACGCTGTGGCTTCTTATGGCCTCTCCGATCTTTATTGGGAATTTGTGATTTTTTTGGTGATTCAGCGAAATATGATTGCCGGGTTAGTTTCCATGAAAGTATAAATTTGACCTGAACTTTCAGCTTCTTTTCAGACCATAGAACTAGAGGGATGATCAACCGTTCTAAGAATGGTGAATCTTATATATTGGTGAACTCTGTTACTTTTCTTGGTAGATTGTTCGAATATCAATTGCTGTGCTCGCCAATAGGTAGTTTCTTAACAATGACATTAATCAAATGCAGAAACTAGTTTCTAAACAATGCCATTAGCTAGTTAGTTATTCTTGTTCATGTTTGATCCAATGTTTATTCTGCTTGGGCTTTAGGGGTTATGTTGTACTAACACTTAAAAAACTAAGAATCTAAGTTAAAAGTTTAAGAATCTAAAAGATTTGGTTTGTATGCCTTCTAAACAGAGGTTTGTTTTATTACTTTGGTATATTAAATATTTCTTGAAGCATTGTCCATTATAGCATTGTCAAAGGTACTAGGTGCGATGCTAAGGTTCCAAGATGTCGGAGGTGCCAAGTGCTTGCCTAGGCATTCGCCCGAGCCAAGAGAGACATTCGCCAATATATAAATAAAAAAAATATAATTAAGGATAAATATAACCATTAAAATGAAAAATTAAAGAATATATGAGTTTCATGTCATTTTGCATTCAAAAGATCACCATTAAGACATCAAATGATATACGTTTAACCATATATAAGGTACTAAAAGTACTATGCTGTCCAAATATAATAACAAAAATAACAAAACAAAAGGAGATCAATATCAAGAGTTCACAATTTCATCAACAAAGTCAATTATTGTCAAGGTTCACTACATCATCAACATTATCAAGGGAGAGGGGGCTGTGCACGAGAGGAAGGGGGTATTGCCACGGTAGAGGCAACACCAGGGGTTGTGATCATTGGAGGGGAAGCATCTGGTGGCGGAGTTGAGGAGACAACCATGATGGGTGTACACTCGGATCGCAATCATTGGAGAGGAAGTACCTTGTCATGGGTGTGCATCGGAAGCTGTGACTGTTATAGACGGAGCAACCAATGGTGGAGGGAAGGAAGTAGAGTTTGAGATCACAGTAGGTTCGATCAGTTGTCCATGTGGGTTGGGGGGAGAGGAGAGTATGATTTATTCCCTGTTTGGTTTGGATCAAATTGCTTCATCTGGATCCGAATTGAGCCAAGTCCAACTAGGGCACTTAACAAGTCAGACACAACTTGAGTTTGGTTGCTTGTGTTGCACCACGCGACTGACTGAGCTACCCATCGGCCATGCTTAGGTGCCCACTTAGGCAGCACCCGAGTGAAGTCGCTCGCCCAAACCATAGTCGAGGCTCGCCTTGCCCGAGCGCCCAAGTGAGTACTTGATGACAACACTTGTCCATTACATGTTTGTACACATTTTTATTGTTGGGCAACAAGGTTTTGAGAATATAGGGATTACATTTATGTTTTCTGCAAAGCAAAAATCTTCTAAATCATATTGCATTTGAGTTTGATCATTTAAAGTTATTTCATGGAAGCCGTTTTTTGGGCCAATGTTCAAGGACAAGTTTTAGCAGTTCAACACTATATCGTGTTAAATTAGGCTGTACAGATGGTTTCTAATGATACAGACTTCATACATCTTGTCAAGTTCACTAAAAATTGGTCTAGAGTTTTCATAAATACAATGAATCATGCTGCCTCTGCTGTCAATACACTGATCATCCCTCTTTTCATGTCAAAAGTGACTGACAACCCTTAAGGGCTAGAATGCCGACTCCTAAGCTGGTCAGCTCTTCTTTTTTGAATGTCTGGTTAGCCACAAATCTAGCAGAACTGGGTTTGTTGGCATCTGGTCAGTTGGTCAGCTCCCATTTCCATGTAAGCTTAACCTGAAGTGTTGAGATTCTCTCCTGATTCGATAAGGATTCATGTCTTCACCTATAGTTGTCTTTTTGTTCTGTCCTAATGCATATACAAGTCTCAATGAGGATGGAAACCAGCTTTGAAGCCCTGCAGGCTATCTGTCCTTGTCATACACAGACCCGATACACTCATCTCAAGTCTCAAAAGAGGCTTTCTGCAGTTGCTTCTTGTCTAGCTTCAACATGCAGCCTACATTTTGGCAATCAGGCTTTCGACCTGGTTGGGTGTACCTTGGTTTGATTGGCATTCCAGATTTAGTCTGATGTGCATACTAACAGTTTTATGACACAACCATATAACATTTCTGAGATTGAGATTGGTACTATTGATGAACTTATTTGATGTTTAAAGTTCTTTCTGTACATGCATCTCTCTTCATGGAGTACTGTTGTTTTCTATAATGTGTTGGCTATGTAGCATTAATAATTGTAAATGCTAGATATTTATCAGTTGACTAAGAAAAAAGGAGACTCCATCCTCACTCCTTTTTATACCGAGGGGTAGCATTTCTAAGATGGAAAGTGCAATTTTCATAATCTGGTTTAATGTTACATTCTGGATTTTTGTCCATTGTATTTGATTGCTTATATATCAAAATTGTATGTTGTTCTATCTTTTGGAAATAGCATTAACCTTAAATATTTATTCACACAAAGTAGAAATTTAATGCACCATTAGACAATACCATAACTCACTCCAAAACTGATATTCTTGGTGCTATTTTTAATTTAACATGGCTTGATGAACAACCAAATTACATCTTTCTACAGATAAATTTTAGATGGAAAGTGGTCATCACCTTGCTCACGAAAGTCTCGCTGGATATACTACAATGAAAGTGAACAACGTGCCACATGCAATAGATTCTGAACAAAATGCTTCATGTTCTGACGCTGAGAGTAGATCTGATGTTGGGAAGCCAGTGAAAACTGGCGAACTGACTGATACCCAGGCTACAGACGTATTTGTTTATAGGCAAGATGTTGTCAAATGCAGTAAGTGTAAAGGTCTACATGGAATTGTTCTGGAAACAGCTGGTGACTCAGATCCTGAGGGCAGCATCTCAGGGTATGATAGCAGTGAGGAGGATGAGGATAACAACGATGAAGGCAATGGAGATGATAATGGTGATGTTAACAGTAATATTATTGATGGTGGTAGTAATGATTTTCTTCAAGATGGCCAGGTTAGATTATTATGGTGTGATGGTTCTGAAACTGTGGAAAATACTAATGATGTCACGGTTGTAGATAGAAGTTTTTTGCGTGGTGATATTGTTGCTTCTGCTACTGATCCAACTGGACAGTTGGGGGTTATTATTAATGTCAATATGACAGTTGATTTACTTTCTACAGATGGTGTGGTGATAGAAAATGTTTCCTCTAGAGCTTTGAAACACATAAGGGAATTTAGCGTTGGAGATTTTGTGGTTCTTGGACCTTGGCTTGGCAAAGTAGATGAAGTATTTGATAACGTGACTGTTCTGTTTGATGATGGTTATATTTGTGAAGTTGTGAAGCCTGATCCTTTGCAACTTAGACCTCTTATAATGCCAGTTGTTAGTGACACAGATTGCCCCTACTACCCGGGTCAAAGGGTTAGGGCCATTTCTTCTTCTGTTTTTGAAGGTTCTAGTCGCAAGGCTAAGCTTCTCAAAGGTACTGTCATCAAAGTTCAGACAGATTCAGTGGTTGTCTATTGGATAGCTTCAGCTGTCCATGGTGTTGGTGATAATTCAGCAACTTTTCCTTCAAAAGAGCAGAACCCAAAGAACTTGACTCTGTTGTCTTGTTCTTCGCATATAAATTGGCAATTAGCTGATTGGTGTCTCCTTCTGTCTTATCCACATACAAATGATTTGCCTAAAAATTGCTCGTGCAGTACTTCATATTCAGTTTCAAAGAAGCCTGCTAATGGAAGCTGGCCATCTTACCGTAGGAAGCCGTGGAAGTTTTTCTTTAGGGGAGATAAGAAAATTTGGAGAAGAGATGGTAACTTTGAAAGAGCCCTTCTGATTGTAAAAGCTTTTAACAAAGTTGATGTGGCCTGGCAAGATGGGACAACAGAATTTGGTCTACAATCAACATCACTAATACCGTTTGATACACCAAATGATCATGAATTTTTTCCTGGAGAGTTTGTGGTTGAGAAGGCACAAAATGAAGGTGGCAGTTCTTCTGAAACAAATCGACTGGGAGTTTTAAGAAGCGCGAACTCTCAGGAGCAAACTGTGTGCGTGAGGTGGCTTAAACCTGCATCCAGGCCCGGAGATTTGAAGGAGTTCAACGGTGAGGAAGTTGTTAGTGCATATGAACTTGAACGGCATGCTGATTATGATTACTTCTATGGTGATGTTGTTGTTCGCTTGCCTCCTGTTTCTGATGATATACCAAACTCTGAAGTTCCTACTGAGACACAGGGAAATCAACTTGATACCCAAAAAACAGCAGATGATTCAAGCAAGGAATATGTAGAGATCAGTGAAGAGAATCGGGCCCTAGATAATGAAGCTTGTGAGGACTTTACAAGTTTATCATGGGTTGGAAATATAGTTGGTCTCCAGGATGGTGATATTGAAGTTTCATGGGCTGATGGGATGGTGTCAAAGGTATACCTCTGGCTGAATATTTACTGGTACCGATGTTGAGGCCATCGCATATATTACATGGACAATTCTGCTAATTTTTTTCTTCATCTGACTGTTTGCTTATAGATGTTCTTATAACTGATCCTGTCATTCCTATTCCTCTTCTGTAAAATAGTTTCTGAAAGTCACTCATCTGTCTTTCAGGTTCCACCTCAGGAAGTTTATATTGTTTATCGGCATAATGGTAACGGTGACAATGAGGATGAGGATGAGGATGAGGATGAGGATGAGGGTGAGGGTGAGGGTGAGGATGAGGATGAGGATGAGGGTGAGGGTGAGGGTGAGGATGAGGATGAGGATGAGGGTGAGGGTGAGGGTGAGGGTGAGGATGAGTGTGAGGGTGAATTTGAGGATGGGGATGAGGGTGAGGGTGAGGACGAAGACGAATATGATGACAATGACGAGGAGGAGGATGAAGATAATGACGACGACGACGATGATATTGGAGTTAGTGATGATGATGCTAGTTGGGAAACAGCCAGTGAAAATGAAATGGATGTACTTGAAGGCACTGAAAAGGTTGATTTATCTACTAACTACTTTCGTTTTGATTGCAACCAATCTTTTATTATTGTTTCATTTCCTCCCTTCATGTTTGTGATCTGTAAGTATTCCATTTTTAGGAAGTTGATCCACAGAATCCTAGTGACAGCAATTTGCAAGGCAAACATAGTGCTACAATTTTAGAAAAAGAAAGTAGTGGTGGACAAAGTAGGCCACTCACATTACCTCTTGCCGCAATTGATTATGCTGTCAAGCACACCACTGGATTGTTTTCTCGGGCTAAGAAACAGTTAGAGTCATCAGGTTTGGATAAGCAAAAAGCAAATGACGCTAATCACAAGGCAGACCTTGACTTTTCTGGAAGTAAATTAGATGGGGAGGATGAGAATAAAGGTTTTGATGTTTCAGATGGTCTTATTGCAGAAAGGATACATGAGAACATTGAAACGGATAATCACATGGAAGCAACAGAAAAGGCTGAAGTGAAAATTGAGGACAATTTAGAGAAACCAGCATCGATGGGATTGCATGATGGCAGTGAAGGATCACACATCATGGATGATCCATGTAAATTCAAGCACTTTGATACTGCAGAAAATCCTTTGGATCATCATTTTCTTGCTGTCGCAGAAATGGTAATTGATTATTTTTCTGTGTCATTTTATGCGACTCATTTCTTGTGGAAAATTTGCATACAACTCATTATAGATTCAATATAATATCTAGACGCATGATTTTCCTATCTGGATGTTTGTGCTTTTATATAATTTCTGTAGCTGTCTTAACATGGAAATTTTTATAAAAATAAAAATGCAGGGCACCGGTGGAAGAAAGTGGGGCAAAAAGGTTCAGCGAGAATGGAGCATTCTTGAGAAGAACCTACCTGGTATGTGAATGACTAGCTGAATTAACAATTTATAGAGTTGATATAGACATGAATAAATGTGCTCTAATTTTGTTATGATTATAGATGATATTTATGTTCGAGTATTTGAGGACCGCATGGATCTAATAAGAGCCGTAATAGTTGGAGCATATGGAACCCCATATCAGGATGGCCTCTTCTTCTTTGATTTTCACCTTTCCTCAGAGTACCCTCAAGTTCCACCGGTAACTGTGATATCATTATCTTCTGGTTAGGTTTCACATATAGTGAGTGTATCAAGGACAAATTACTTCTCAGTTCATGATTCACACCGTTTGCTTTCATTTGCTCCTATTCTTATATCTTCCATTACCTTTTGAGCTAATTATAATTTCAACTTTTATTTCTTCTTGGTTTTGCAGTCAGTATATTATCATTCTGGTGGCTTGCGGATGAACCCCAATTTGTATGTGGATGGGAAAATTTGCTTAAGTCTGCTAAATACATGGACAGGCAAGGGAAGTGAAGTCTGGGATCCATCATTTTCCAGTGTCCTCCAAGTTCTAGTTTCGCTTCAGGGATTGGTTCTTAACGATAAGCCATACTTCAATGAAGCTGGTTACGAAAAGCATATTGGAACAGTTGAAGGTGAGAAAAATGCTTCTCCATACAACGAGAACGCATACCTAACGAACTTGAAATCCATGTTGTATCTCCTGAGAAGGCCCCCCACGGTAAGCACAAAAAAAATCATAGCAAGTTTGTTTCCTTCTTTTGCGCACATGCACTACATTTTCTTAAGATGGTCTCAGATATCTGTTAATGCATCTGAATTCCTGTAACATAGCCATCAGTTCTATCAAATTCTTGGATAATGAATGGGTATGCAAAATCTTATTTGTAGCTTCTTAGATCACCAAATTCCTTGTGTATTCTTTGGAGAGTCAAGATTTTGTCCAGTTGGCAAAATAAATCCTGATACAGTTTCGTGAGAACAGTATTGCAATGAACATTTGCCTATCTAAAATCGTGTATGCATCGATGCAGCATTTTGAAGACTTTGTCAAGGATCACTTCCGCAGACGTGGTCATTACATTCTTAAAGCTTGTGAGGCCTACTACACGCGTGGCTGCTTGATCGGTTCACTAACAAAGGATGGCTGCTTAACTGAAGAGAGCCAGGAGAATTCTTGTTCGGTCGGCTTCAATTTAACACTAGCAAAAATCTTGCCCCACCTGATTCCTGCACTGAATGAAGTAGGAGCTGATTGCCGTCAATTTGAATATCTCCTCACTTCTGGAACGCTGAACAGCCCAAGATCTTGAAGGATGGTTCTCTACAGCAAATTTTGTATGGTTTTGTTTCATGAAAATTGTCGCCAAAGTCTCAGATTCTTGATCCATAACACATTTAGGAAGTAATTCCTGGATGTGGTTAGTGCCAATTGCACTATATTCTTTTCTTTTTTTTTTCACAATATATAGTGTCATGTAGAATATGTTTATTATCTTTTTATTTTAATACACCGAGTGGTTCTTCAAAGATCGCCAACACATTCTCTCTCTTACTCTCTTTTTATGAATTTTTTTGTTATGTTAATTGTCAGAGCAAAATGATTCCTGAGATAAGACATGTTGCTGCGTCTTTTAGGTTCGTAAACGTAATTCAAGTATTTTTCGTATGGCTCAGATATCCATTTTCTTGTGGTTTTGATGAGTTGAAGCGTGGAAGTCGGAAACGGCTCAAATGATTGTAAATTCTTATTATTTGGTTTTTACTGTATAAAGTTGCACACTGTAAAAGAATTCTTGCAATCTTAAGAGCGATCATTAAAACAAAGACTAAAGTTAGATTCAAAACGAACGATTGCATCCCGGTGTATCTCACAGAAATATATCATTCAAATAATTCAATCAGAAAATAATCGAAGGACTTTGCAAGTCTTGCAAAGTCCGCGACGTGATCGTACAAGATCTTGTTGTAGAGTGTCGATGGTGACATATATGAACCGATCATTCCCATTCCAATTCCAATACCGATCTCGATTCTCAATCGAACCAAACGCCCACCTAAAAGAAAATAAAAATAGCAAAAATCATAATCTTTGTCTTCGATGGTCTTTAAAGACCAAATAATCACATATGAAGACTTTCCTAACACAAAAAGATTACAGCAGTTCTTACAAAGACCAATAATATCCTCATTAAATGCTACCCACATACCGGAAAATACATTAGTTAGAAACAACAATAGAGTTAAGCATTGAACAAACCACCATTTAAAAAAATAAAATAAAAAAATCAAAAGAATGCACTGCTCTTTTAGTTGAATCCTACAATTAGTCATTTAAGGAAAAACAGAACAAATGGATCAGCTACCTAAACCTTCAGAACCACAACAGGAACATGCTATGGTGTCAAGCCTTACAACTATTCAGATGCTGCAGCTAATCTACATCCGAAAAAAAGAAAGAAGAAAATAGAGCAGGCATCCGACAACTGGGAGCAGAAACTTGCAAATCAGATCCATCAAGTCATGTTCCACCATTAACTGCTTGGACGGGTCCATTTGATCTGAAACCTCGGCCCCTTCCACGACCACGACCACGACCTGGAGTGATAAGATTGTAGCACAAAGGTCAGGTCAGATGAAGAGCCATTTCATCATAACAGCTGGCTTGCTTAACCTCATCTTCAACACACAAGCACATTTTTATTTACTAGTCAGATTCGAACTTATCACCTCTCATTAATTCCTATCTAGTTTCAATGGTGAAACAATGAAACATATGGTGCCACAACGAAGTATCTAAAACCTGAAATTACAGGAAGGCGTCATGTGATTTCGCCAATTGACATGCCGAATCAAGCTATGTATGTAGGATTCATGATCCTACAATGGGAAGTTTTTCTTTTTTCTTTTCTTGTTGGTAGGGTTGCTTTTTGATAGCAGGCATGCCCCAGTTTCTTTATGGTTTTTCTTTTCCCTTTGTTTACAGCTTTAATTTTTGGAAAGATTGCAAGTCAGAAGAGCGGACTTAAAACATAGAGGACAAGGGAACGGGAGGATGGAGGATCAACTAACCTCTGCCTCTGGCTGGCATAGGAGCCTGATCATTGTAGCCTGTCTCGTGCAGATAATCAGGTCGACCACCAAAGCCTCCTCTGCCACGACCACGGAAACCCCAGCCTCTACCTCGGGCATAGCTGCCTCGACCAAAACCGCGACCCCTGTTGTCCCATCCTCCATCACCATAGTCCACCACACCATTTCCTAAACATAGAGCATATGCATATCAGTCAGCATTACTTCTCAAGAAGTCTAGCTATTCAAAACCGAACTTCCGTAAAGAATCGAAGCATACTTACCGCGAGCTCTTCCCCTGCCACGACCATTGCCTCTACCACGGCCAGCAGGTGAACCTTCTACATTGTAAATAAGTCATTGTGAACACAAGGGCATCCCCAACGGTGATAAATGATATTTAATTTTTAAATTACCTCCTTCGTACTCAAACTCTGCTGATGGTTTCACCTGATCTGCAGGCAAAGGAGATTGATATCTGCAAAAAGCAATAGAGTCTAATTCAATTCTTTCTTTATATCTAAAGGAAAAGCTACTCATAATATGGCATTCCTAGTAGTAGAATTAGATTGTTAATGCAAGTTAACTTTCCGACCCACCAGACTCTGAAATGGGTCCAAACACCAATATTCTATTTTCAGATTTGGCCATAACAAAAATAAATATTATTTACAAGATTACACAAAGGCACAAAGGACTGTCATATGGCTCAAATGCATATTATCTCCAGATTCTCCATAATGCTTGCATAATCATTGAATGTAAGAGGCAAGTCCATAGTTCAACATGAGTCATGAATAACAAGATTTGCCAGAGAATAGCAGAATCACACCAATTAATCACCTAATGTTCCACAGGAGGACTATAATTAGAAATTGTTAGTTATCAATCCAAAATATTCAAAATCTACCAAACTAAACCTAAAATACCAGTTTTCACAAATTTTCACAAAGGAACTCGCATATATCTAAATAAGAAAACCAATTTTGCAAATACGACACATTTAAGGACATCTATTGGAGTGACTGGCTTTAGCAAGAAATGTAGCGCCAACTCATTAAATACATAAAAGTAATCATATAGCATAAACTTAGTTACTGTTGTTTGCACCAAGTTTAAAATTTTTATAATTTATAATATTCCAGTTGACATAATCAAGAACTAGCTATGGTGGTAAATAACAACCTAGAACACCTAGTTACCTAAGGGCGACATGTCTAATGTTCCAGATATTGCGTTCTCATAGTGTGGACAAAAGAATGGGTCAAAGCTAGAACAAAAAACATAGACACAAACTTGATTATATATAAACATATACAAGATGGATTTTTTATTAAACATAGATTCTGCAAGTCTAAATACGAGATGGATAAAAGACATGACATATAGCTATCATTGGTACCTTAGTGAATTATATGGCACATGATGTTGTACGTGGCATACAAATACAAAAAATTATATATAACATGGTTCGCTTAGCGTACCTAGTCAACCAAACTTTTTTGAGCAATTGTTTAGTCCTAATTGTAAGAAGCAAAACTCTGAATATACAGGAGAATGCAAACACCAATAAGGACTAATATAGACATTCATGCAATTTTAATATGAAAGAAGCTGACAGATTGTAGTCCAATTTCAACCATCAATTGTATGCATATATAGTCTCAAAAATACAAACAGATGGTTTTTTGTTCACACCCAACTGCAGATGTATCCAGCTCCTTCTTTGATAATGTTATAGTGATCATAGACACATGCCTAGTAGTTTCAAGCCTGAAAAAGGAGGAGATAATACTCATAAAAAATAAACTCAATAGATACAAATATTTATAATACGACTATGTATTAATCTCCACTCTCCAATAATGTCCACAATACAGTTTAAACTTTTTGTATCAAAAACAAAACAAATTGTTGTCTTACGGAAGTAGTCCTTCCTCGAGTGGTTCCCATGTATCAGTTATATCAATAGATCCAATAGCAGCAATCTGATGAAGACCAACAATCCTTCTCTGCTTCACCAGTATATATGTAAGGAAATTTGTAAGAGAGAAATATCACCTCCATTTACTTTTGGTTTTCGTTAGAAAAGAATTATATATCAAATCGGCATGCACATCCCAAAAACTTTTACGATCAACAGTGACAAGACATAACATCCCAAATAACAATAAATTGAGTACCTTGATCAATTCCACAATCATAACCGTCTTGTTGATAGCTCTACCCATTGCCTTGAAAACAATGTCACCGGAACTTTTCTCCTTCAAAAAAATTACAAATAGTTCACAATAATTAAACAAGCAGCAAGAAGGTCAAGCGCTGAAGGCGTGCACATATATATCCAAGATATCTGTAAGAATACTTGTGAATGCCGATATCTGGTGACCACAAAGAATTGAAAAAGCAGCTTATAGTCATGCATTTCGTACTGATGCACGAGGTCTGTTTAAAAGAATGCTGGTAGAGACACAATTTTCCATAACAAAACTCATCGATCAACCTTTCGACTTTATTTACTCATAAGACCTTTGTGTATGACTGGGTGTTACTAAATATTAAAACCAATCCGACAGAGCTGCCTGAAACCATTATGGCAAATCATGAAGACTCATTTTTCCCTCTCAAATCATGCCAAACAAATTTGCAACCTTATACACTAATATTTTCTCTGAGTACTGCTTGCCTGCTTAAAAGTTCTAACTTGAACAAATTAAATTACAAATATAACCATTTTAAGTTTCATAATGAGATCCAAAACCCCAGAGGAAAAAAAAGACTAGCCCAGTGTCCAAAGAAATGCATTAATTATCTTCCTTATGTTTGCACGAGACCTAGCAGGTGCCAATTATCACCTCTAAAGGGTGAACAATGACTGAATGTAGAAATAGTGACAGATAATACGCGTTATGAACTCACTAGATTTCAAGTATCCTACTTCTCCTGCCATTAAAGCTTTTACTAGAGATATCACTGTGGGCTTCACCTTCGATATGATCTGCGAAACTCTTAAATCTTCCAAAGACTACCTCTAAATGCATAGCATGGTAAAGAAAAAGGGCGTGAACTAAGGGTCATATGAGGCTTTTTTATTGGTGAATACCTGAAGCAGACTGGTGGCGTAGGTAATGTAATTGCGCATCCTCCCCTGAGCCGTAATACGGATCTCATTGTCGTTGATTGGGATCTCCTCTCTTGGTTTCTCCACCTTCTGGTACCGATCCATCTTCCCATCAAACAAATACACGAACGAGAATGCAACAAAAAAAATCACATTTTGAACAACAGAACTAGTTCAGAATACCCCAAAAAGAACTCTAGACAACCAAACCAATCCTTGAATTTAGAAGAAAAAGAAAGAATTACGAGCACAAAAGATCAAACATAAAAAAGGGCCGGCCAAATCGGATCTCAAACGAACCAAATCAAACCAGAGAAACACGAAAAGAACGACGTTGAGACGAATGAACCAAGAAACGCAGGTTCGAGTGCGAAAAAACTAGGAAAAATGAAGTTCTTCTCGCCCTGAAGAGTAGACACAGATGATTCATTCACGCGGCGACACCAACAGGGAGAGAAGAAACGAGAAGAACGGCACAACTACCAAGGCTCTCGTTGAGTTCTCCCTAAATATACCTTGATTTCGCCGCCCGTCGCCCTCTTCTGCCGCTCGTTTACTTCTTTTCCGCTCTGAGGAAAGAGAGTGTGACAGAGAGCTCTGGCGACGCAACCGCTTCTCCATTTTAATACGACAAGCCCGGGAGCGAACTGGCCTTCCTCCCCGGCTTAGGGTTCGCCTTCGGTTCCCTCCGCCCCCCTCCCCCCTCCCATTCCAACCGAACCGAGCAACCGTGGCCGCACGATCGGGATTCCAGGAGCCACAGACGGTCGTTGATTGAGCCGTTTCGACCCACGCTGTGATCCGGTCCGGCTAACCAGAATTGTCCATTTCAGAAGTTTGGGCCCGAACCCAATGTCACACGATTAACCCATCTGACCCGGAACATGGGCCGAACAGAACTCCAGCCCAAGCCCATGTGTAGCCCATGTCGGGTGCTCCCCGGATGTGACGAAGCAAGCAGGACACCGTCCCGTGTCTCCAGCATTTGCTCCTCGTCCTCCTCCTCGGGAAGCCGCATTGCTGTCCCCACCCGTCTGCTCCCGGCTTTTATTAGCCACAGCACGACTCTCCATGGAAACAGTGGCAGATGGGATAAGTGTGTCATGGAGAGACGCGGTGCTGTGGTGCGGCGAGACGCCCGAGACGACAGAAAAGCCAGCGTCGCTACCGGTCAAATGAGGGAACCCATCCATGTGGCTGCAGCCTCTCCGCTCCACCGTGGCGTCGTGTGGAAGAGAGTCATTGCAAGGTGACGGTGGCATGGCTGCGTGTATGATGATGTATGGTGCCGATCGACAGGGTCCTCGGACACGAATATGCCAACGTGGGGAAGGTCGAACACAAAGGGAGGATGGAGGTCTCGCTGCCAAAAGCATTCGGTAGCATTGGGTGCTCCAGAGGGAGTGGCTGTGCTCTGAGCATTTCCTCCTACGTCGGCACTGAACACAGTGTTAACCTTCAGAGAGCTCTCATGGAGCTAAAAGGTTATGCAGCAGGCTGCAAATAATTGACGTTCATTAGTGGAGGAACCGAGAGGACTCGAGGAGCATCGGAGAGTTGCCTCTGTCTCATTTGATGAGCTGCAGACTTGTACATGGAGTGCTTGTGGAAGCAAATCTGTGTTTTTACTGAGGTAAGTAAGAAAGAATCAAACATGTCCCTCCTGATGCCAGAAAGCTGCAGGCGACTGTGGAAAATATTCTTTGTGAAGGGAGTAGCCATGGACAGACTTCGAGTGTTGTCGCCCTCATCCTCACTGGTGTAATAAGGATGATGATATCATAGAATGAATAATCATTAACAAGAGACTGTGATCAGGTAATCCTCCCATCACGGGGTTTAATCAACGTATTAAGTCTGAAGCTTGTATGCCATGGCCTCATCGTCTTCACCATTTGGACTCACTTTACCTCTATTTTGAGGGTTTATCCCAGCCTTCGTGCAAACTGGACACGAGGAACGCCTCCCCACTCCCTTCTGTAGCTTTGACTTTGACCATCCATTCTCTCTCTCTCTCTCTCTTTGTATATAAATGCTGTCCTAAACCTCTGATCTCTGCACCCGCCATCCCACCCATATTCCGCCCGCTTCTCTCTCTCTCTCTCTCTCTCGCTCTCAGAGGCGCACACAGAGGGGCGCCACATGGGGGGTTGCGCGGCGTCAAGGCTAGGGGGAAGCGGCGAGGACGACGACCCGGTGGCGCTGTGTCGCGAGAGGAAGCGACTGATCAGGGCGGCGGTGGAGCGCCGGTACGACCTCGCCGCCGCTCACGCTGCATACATTCATTCACTGAACGCGGTCGCCGCCGCCATCGACATTTTCGTTGCCCGCCTCTCTGCGCCCGCGCCCTTCCTTATAACACTCCCCGCTGCGTCTGGCGACGGTGACCCCGCTCCGGCCTCCTCCTCTTGCGCCTACCTCCGCCAGATGCCGTCGGAACCAAAGACCGAATCTGTAGCCTACCACCCCTCCCCTCCTCCCTCCTCGCCGTCGAACTCGAGCTCGGCAGGATATGCAGATGCAGCGGATGCTGTGGAAGCGGAGGAGGAGGACCATGAGGAGGAGGAGGAAGAGGAGGATATGAGGGCAGGGGAGACGAGTTGCGGGTACTTCTTCTCTGCGGCGAGACCGATGCCGCCGTCTCCGCCGCCGGAGGTGTTTGGTTGGGACTTCTTCAGCCCGTTCGATGAGGTCCGGCCGGCAGAGGAGCCGGTGGTCATGATAAGGGGACTAGACCCGAACTCAGATGAAGATTTGAGGGCGGTGAGGGAGCAAGAGGGCATCCCGGAACTCGAGGAAGCGGAGGAGGAGGAGGACGACGACGAGGCGAAAGACGGGACAGTGGTGGACGATAAAGAAAAGATGGTAGCTTTGGGTGTGGGAGAGACGCCTGAGAGCGGTGGTGGCAGAATGGTGGTGCAAGGAAGCGACGCCGGGCAAGAACAGGAGCTGGCTGTCTTGGAAACGCCAGAAAAGGGACGAGAGCTTTTACAAGCACTGAGAGATGTTGAAGACCATTTCATCAGGGCATATAATGCTGGGAAGGAGGTCTCGAGGATGCTGGAGGCCAACATGGTTCAGCCCTCGTCGGGGCCGGAGGAGATAAAAGGTCGATTTTTTCCCTGCCTTTTCTGCTATTCTTTTCATTGTGGGTTCTCCCTGGTTTTATTGCACTAAAGCTGGATAGAGGTTAGGGAAGGAGAGCAGAAGCAAGTAAAAGGTTTCGATGTGGTTAAAGAACAAAGTTTACTCTTTGGCTTCATTATTCCCTTGTTCTTCATCTCTTGGTATGACTGGATTACTCTTGTTCTTGTACTACTGCTCTTTTTCACCTTATCTTCATTGATCTCTGCGTTAGCTGTTGTCTTATCACTTCCATTTCTTGAACTGGTATGAAGATTCTAATTGATTAGTCTTGCTAATGTCCTGATGGGATACAAGGCTTATTAGTATTCACTTGTTTTACAGCACTCATTGAGATGGGGAAACTATATTACCTCTTTCTTCCCGAGTATAGGAACCTTTTCAACCATGGATGAGTTTTGAGTTCTCTACTTATATGCAATCTGTTCAAAGACTGCCCCTTTTTTCTTAACAATTAGAGTAACAACTTAAATGTAAAAGAAAGTTGAACACTAGATTGCTTTGCTATAATGAAATAAATGTTTACCACTACTATTTCTCTAAACCAAGTAAACTTTATTCTGGATCATGCATTGTCCTTCTCTGTTATTTTTGCCCAACATTATACATGAAGAGTATCGGTTATGGGGGCATTCATCATGCTTACATATTTTCATGTTTTGGATAAACTCTTCCTATTGGTAAACATCAAGTCCGGGGAATGGCACTTTAGTTTTACTGATATTGGGTGGGCATCCATTGTTCATACAGGAGTCGTTCAGGCAATTACATGGCATCAGTCTCCATCTCTCTCCTCATCTTATAGGAGTCAACTTGCATCAAGCTCAAATAGTACAGCATCATGGACAGAAAGCAAGAGTGATTTTTCCGATGTCTATGTTGGGATGGAATCAGGAAGCCACTCACAAACTCTAGGAAGGTTGTATGCTTGGGAGAAAAAGCTATATGAAGAAGTGAAGGTACACTTGTCTTCAACATTCACTTGATTTTTCACCAACAAAAGCCTTCTTATGAGACTGATACCACGACAGGCAACTTTTGTTGCTTTGGTGCAAAAAAGAGTAATCATACTGACCATGACACATTCAGGGAAGAAGTGAAAGATTAATTTCATAATGGACATAGAAAATTATAGTCTATGCCATAAAATTACTATTCCTCTCTATTTTTCAATGTCTCAAACATCGATAAGGCTTATTTGCTCTCTGGATTTATTCTTGGTATATTCTTCTAACTTTGAGCTCCACAAAATCAGGTGCTCTTTTTTGTGTATAAATCGATGCCCAGGCAAATTCATTTTTCCACCTCAACCCCTGTAAAGTCTGTTGGTGCACATATATTCCTCAAAATTTGGATCATCGCATATCTCTGCTCCCAAAGGGTAGCTATTCAAGGATTAAACTAACAATAAAGCAAGACTCAGTTAAGCCCGATCTATTTTCCCTCCAGCAAGTATATAAATTGGCTATAAATTGTTGGGGTGAAGGCTTCCTCTCCATTTTCACTACGTATATCTTCTCCGTTTATGACTTCCTGTCATTATTTCTTCGAATGGGTTTATTAGTGACAATGAAGCACTAGGAAATACGAGAAAGTTGACTGTGTATCTTGATGTTACATATGTTATGGTACGAGGAAGCCAAAGATTTGCCAAATGAATATTCTATTCTAAGCATATTCTCAACTAGAAATCTTTTTCATGGCTTGTCATTCTTTTTTAGGCTGGAGATCACACCTGGCAAGATTACCAGAAGAAATGTTTGCAGCTAAGAACCAAAGAAGCTAAGGGAGCCAAATCACGCTCAGTTGACAAAACCAGAGCTATTGCAAGAGACCTGTATGCAAGAATCTGGGTGGCATTACGAGCAGCTGAATCAATATCAGAAAGAATACAGAAATTGAGAGATGAAGAACTGCAGCCGCAAATCATAGAACTGCTACAAGGGTAAGAAAAATAGTGGATCACCAGATGCATGGTTGGCAAATATCACATGTTCTTTCTTCTTCTGTTAGTAACTATGCCTTCTCCGTCATTCTTTTTCACTTTTGCAGCCTAACACGGACCTGGAAGATAATGGTAGAGTCACACGAAACCCAAAAACAGATAATGTTCGAAGTGAACTCATTCACATGCCCTGCTTATGGAAAATTCTGCAATGAATCACATCGTCTTGCGACTATCATGCTGGAGACTGAGCTTCGTAATTGGAGATCATGCTTTACAGGCTATATCGCAGCACAGAAAGCATATGTTGAAGCTCTTGATGGATGGCTATCGAAGTTTCTTTTATCTGACGTGGAATACTATTCTCGAGCTAGATCCCTATTTCCTTCTCACAAAGCTGGAACACCTGCTATGGTTGTTATCTGTCATGAGTGGTTAACCTCACTAAGAAAACTGCATGATCAATCTGTATCCTGCAGCATGAGAAATTTCATCAGAACCGTGAGAGGTTTATGGATCACGCAAGGGGAGGAACAGCAGCAGAAACGAAAGGTCGATAGGCTTGCAAAGGAGCTTGACCATAAGGTTCTGGCATTGCAGAAAGCAGAGAACAAGGTTTTGGAGTCCAAGCTTTCTGAAGATAAGCCTGAGCCAGATATGCGTCAGCGGATCGAGTATTTATCAGGGAGGAAAGAGCTGTTAGACATGTGCAGGAGAAAGTTGGAAGCAGAGAAAGCGAAGCATCGTGATCGCATGCGGAGTACCCACGAGATCACCATCAACGGATTCAAAATAGGCTTGGCCAGCATCTTCGAATCACTGACACAGTTCTCCAAGGATTCTGTGAATTTGTATGATGATCTTCTGATGCGCGACGAGAAAACAAACGTGGTGAATGAGATGACTCCTTGCATCGAGGCTTTTGAACAGGGGTGAAGGTTGATAACAGATGATGGCATGGCTGCAAATACTTTTGGGATTGTATATTAGGATGAATGTGGATGTTGCATGGTGAATTTGTGCAGGCCATAGGGGCATCCAAATGTCTCATTGTTAATTTCTCATAGGTACTTCTCATTTGGACCTGCTTAAACCCTGCTGTTCAATGGTTGGTTCAAGGCTTGACTGTTGCTCATGAAGCAATAAATGCTGTCTATACCATCAGATTTTGCTGCTCACATGATACAATCAAGCCATATGGCTATATCACCATATCACCATTTTGCGATAGCAGAAGAAAATTTTGTACGTATGATAATAATTAGGAACAAAGGGATATAAAAAGCCCTGCTAAGTGATATTAGTTCTAAAATAATGATCGAGTACTGAGGAAAGTTAAAGCAAAATATATGCTGAAAACCATCTTAGGGATTGTACAGAGATAAGCTGAGCTTAGCAAAAGATACAGTTGGTAGGCCTAATGAAAACTTGAATCAAAATCAATATCTTAGTTTCATTAATTGCAAACAGAGTGAATGAAGAATCAACAAACCGATTTCCTGTTGTTTTTTCACTCCAATTGAAACCTTGGTTGGGCTCCTGTAAACAAGCATATTTGTCAAATCCTCATTTTTCAACCTGAAGAAATCCATAAAATTTATAATCATAAATTTCAAACAAAAATCTAGTTTTCAATAGTGAGGTAAGCAAATATTACTAATGCAAAACACATACAACCAAACTTTTTATTTGGTTCACTGTCCCTCCATGAAAGTAATCCCTCTTCAGCTTTTTATGTCTCACACAAACAAAAAAAGGACACATTCATAAATGACCATATTCTAATTGAGAGTAATCTCTCTTTAGCTTTTATGTCAACAGATAAACAAGATAGATGCATTCCTAATGGCTATATTATACTTAAGAGGATCTACGTGGCCTCCAGTTATTGAACCATTCTGTCAATTTGGTCACATTCCTACTAATGTCTTCCACGGTGTCACTCTGCAAAGCTATCACGATGTCTTCTGGGTAGCTTGCCTTTGCCTCCTCCAATAGAACTTGGAAGATCTCACACTCAATATTGTTGATAAGCTTTGGGCCCATGTAACCTCTGCAAGTAAGCAATAGAGAAATTGATAGCCACAAGTCACGAAAATAAAAAAAGGACACTAGCAAAATCAATAAGCAAACAATAAAAGAAATCACAAACTGTTTTGTAGATTAGTGTACATACCTGCTAGATAAGCGATCATGCAAAATAGAATTATCAGTCTGAAGAACAACCACACAATCAAACCAACGTTCAGGGAAGAAATCACAACCATGATAGTCCACAATATTTCCACCATCTTCCATCTTGTCCTCGAGTTCGTCGCACACCTATACACCAAATTAAGGGCAAAAAGTTAATGTGGGTGTATCACGAGTGAACAATGAACCTTAAGCAGCTCATTAGGAATGTACTACAAGTAGCTTCATTAATTTTAGTTTGCAAGATGAGAGAAAATCAACCTACACAGGTAAATGAAAGTTATTGTAATAACAATCATAATTATTCTGCAAAGATCACCTTTTTCCACTCTTGTGATCATTCATTTCCCTGAGGATCTATCTCATTGTTGTCACTAACCCATTTTTGTGATCATGTAATTATTGTTACATGATCACAATTTTCTCATTTCTCGTGGAAAATAACAGATCATATCATTTTTAAGCACATTCATATTCCTCTAAACCTCCGCCCATAATACTATTTTGTGCATCTAGCAAAAGAACTAATTGACTACAAACCATCTAATCAAAAGTAACAGAGCTGATAAACTCAATGAGAAAGCTTAAATATAACATACCAGAATAAAAAAGAGGGCACAAAAAACATTTGTGAAACTGGTTCAGATACTGAAGTTTTTTCCTTCGAAGAACAAGTTGACAAATATCTTGTAAAAACTTACTCTTTCGAACGTAACAGAATAGCATGGAACCTGCTAAAGCTTCTAGCTGTTTAACATATGAAGAGCACTCGATTGTTGAAGGTTGCAAGAAAGAATTATGAGGTTCAACATGTGAAAGAAATCTGTTGAGAGAAAAAAAAACCTTCTTCTCAGCATGGCAATACATTTTTAGAACAACAATTCTATTTCCTGCATCTCAAGACAAGGAGGTAGACTGTGGTTACCTTACAAGTTAATTTACTCACAGAAGTGTCCCCTGCTATGGGTGGAGATGAGTCGAAGTATCATATTGATCTTTATCAGCTGTGAAACACAGCTTCAACCATGTTTTCATAGGTGGAACATCTACATTGGCCTTCAAGCAGATCTTTGGAGAAGTTATTTGAATAAATTAATCTACCTGATCCTTCCATCCTTATAGTCAGTCAGAGTAATATAATGCCAATGTAGTTTTAAGGAGACAGAAAGAAAGGAAATCGAAATGATCCAAACTAATTTAAACAGAAGGAAAAAGGTGGAACGACCAACATGAGCATCTTGTCTTAAACTTTTTAAAGGCCGTGAACTAATCATGTCGCTTTGATGATTTATTGTCAGTGCTGCCATTTCTTTCCGCTTCTCTTTTCAAGGTCTCCTTCTTTTAAGACTGTGTTTGTTAGTCAATACAGCTCCAGGGAAGAAGTCGACCACTGATCCACCAACCCACAATTGTGTCAAAAGGATCAAAACCAGTTTAATGTCTCCATGTTGTTGTTTTTGCGTAATCAAACTCATTCAACTCCAAACCTTATGCCCCTAGATTTATGTGCATGAATAGAGTGAAATTCATGATCTTGTGTGCTGCATCAAAAAACTAATGAATAACAATTCTTCCAAATTTTCCTGCACATACCATCACCAAGAAACAATTTGGTGGGTTTGCCACAAAAATATATCTCCATAAACCTTCAAAAATGGATTTTGTCTGCATGAAACAAATACATCACTTGACCTCAAGCACTAATGTGTTCACGTCCACTTTATAAAATCTCCAATACATAGGTTAGTTGTCCATTCTTTTCCATTTCTCCTGTACTTAAATTTCTCCCTCATCATCATAAGCCATAAAAATTCCACTTGATGTCCTGAGTTAGTGGTCCATAGTGTAGTTCAACCTAATATACAACTAGGCAGGTTTTCACATAAAAAATGTGCAAAAAGACTGACATAAGAAACCAGTCAGAAGCATATAGAGATTGGAAACTCTCAGGCATTGTAGCTACTACTGCTAAGTAATATGAACATTGGCAATTAAGTTATTCAGTTCTGATATGTAATAAGAAGTAATATGAGAAAGCAAGAAATTAGGGCACCAAAATAATTTCCTGGAAAAATTGATGGGATCTGGCAAAACAGAGCAAACAAATGTCTGATACAAACTGCTTATTCATGGATTTAATGGTTTGTTATGCTGATTCTGTGTATCTAAATACTCCTGGTTATACAATTGTAAAAAAGGCAAACAAGAATATAGAAAGAAAGTGAAATGGATAATCAAAAAATAAAATTAAAAGAATAAATTTGAAGAAAGGAGAGTAAATAAACATTAAGATCAAATTTCCAATAGGTCTAAATATCTAAAAGCAGTGAAGTCAACCGTACTCTATGACCGACTGATTCTATATCTAAAAGATTTAAAACTTCAACATCATGTGTTTGTCAAATGAATGGTATAGCACAATAACAAAGGAGAAGAAAACTCCTAAGAGAACCTCAAACTCCAAGCATTACTTAGCGACCAAGTTTCCAGGGTTCCTTGTTCGAGCAAACAAGCAAAAAAACAGATCAATTTTGTAGGTAATGGTGGAGCTGTTGGAGGTCAGCGAAGACCCAAAGTTCTATATACCCATGGCTTTTGCAAACATAACTTGGGGCCTCAAGTTCTTCACCACGGTACTCGTGGTAAAGATATTAATTAACACCGTTTTCCATACAAATTTCAGGAAAACAAATAAACTCTATATTTTTCTCATTGTCTTGCGTTTCCCAGAAAAACGACAGAATTCAACCATTTCCTCTGAGAAAAATAAAAATAACAACCTACCTTCGAACCCATCAAACCTTCCTCGATCACTATAAAATGTAAATTTCAAGCCTCTTATACGACAACCTAAAAATCCGAAAATTTTCGGTTTTTATTCTTTGGCCTTTTGGCCACTGAATAATCAATCAGACATTAAGCAAGACGTAAAATAATTCCATATGTAAAAGTAGGGTTACGAGAACAAACAACTCAAGGTTTAGGGTCACGGATCCGAACCAGGTCCTCGTTGATGATGTGACACTCGAACTCCTCGTCCCAGCCGTCGTGGAGGCTCTTCTCCCGAACGAGGTCGCCGACGTTGATGTGGCAGACACCAGTGGCGTCGGCAAGGAGCGAGCATGTTGTCGTCTTCCCTGTTCCCGGCGTCCCTGTCACCAGTATGTTCGGTCTCGCCCTTCCGCCGCCGGCCATCGGAAGAAGCCAAAGAAGGATTGGTCACACGATACGGTGGAAAAGAGGGAAAGAAGCAGGACACCCCGAGCGGCGTCAGCTAGGGGTTAATATAGCCAATGCGGATAAATCGGGCTTTGAACCGGCCGGTTCAGCTCACTCGAACCGGCCTAATAAGCGGGTAACAATTATAGATCGATCTTGAACCAGTTAATTAGAACCTCGCACAGACCGGTGGTTCGAACCAAGTGGTCCAGCACCGCCTACGCCTTTCGGGATGAGCTCGTCTTGAAGGCCTTTAGCATAACTTGCACGTGACTCAACTCACTGGGCTCGTGAGAACCGACTGGCCAAGGTGGCACCATCAGCAACACATGTCAGGTCTCCGTTAATGCGTGAGAAGGACATTGGTGGCCTCTCCGTTGACCCTATGACTCGTGGGTACAGCAACACGTGTACTCGTCCAACGCATGATGCGTTGCGAGACGTGCAACATCTTGATCGTTGCCTTTGAGATTCACGCCAAAATCTCTCGCTTCCTTCTTTGGTTTTTGGGTCGTTGGGTCGATCAGGATTCCCAATTGGGTTGGACTCACGCCTCGTCTCGCACCTCTTCGGATCCCCAATTCCCGGCTCCCGCTTCCGTCGCCCGATCAGGATCAACCATCCATCGGTTGGATTCCGATCGAATGGTTTTTCCGATGTTTATGGAGGAATTGTTCCGGATCGAGAAGATGAAGCTGAGATTTCTGCGCACCCTGCAGCTCATGGGATGCAAGCCTCGCCTTGCTTTCGAGGTTTCTCGGCCGAGCTCCTTTCCCCTGTTTGTTGCTAATTTGGGACTTTTTTGCTGATTCCGATTTTAGTCTGGAAAACAACATCGATTTGTTGGTTTAATTCTCATAAAAGTTCTCATGATTCTGCTGGAACCTGGAACAGTCATCTCTGAGGCCTAGTGATGCTAATGGTACCAGTAGCACTGGAAGCATTGATGATTTTAAGGGGGAATGCGTTAACAATGTTACCAGATAAGTCTTTTCCAGTTGTGGCTGTCCGGGTATATCATCAGGACCTGCCAAAGAGGTACTCTTATTGATCCTCCTTTCTTTAAGAACACCTTCCATGCATCCTCCTGCTGATTATCTACATCAAAATTTGTTTTTTAGATGACTGCAGTTTGTTCTAGCCATAATGTTTTAGATTAGTTGCTTACTTTCCTACTCAAAGTCCAATAAAAGAAATAAGAGCGACAGAAATTAGTCATGAATTTACTCTCTTCTTGTTCTACACATGTTTAAACTTCTTGGAGCCATTAAACCATGGGAGCGACAGAAGTTGTTCTCCTATCCGCTGGCTTTGCTGATATTTCTGATTTTTCATATAACATTAAACCATATTTCTGATATCCATTAAACCATGGATGATTGGAAGTGTTCGTATAACATTTTATGTAATACAGTTTATTCTGGTTGTAGGTTTTCTAATCTGTGGTTCTTTGCAGCACCTCTAATTCTCTAATCGAGGTCAAAATTTGCAAAAAAATTCTTGTCAAATTACTACGTACCAGTTTAATGCTAAATTAGTTACTTTGAGTCACAATGATGCAACTGACAGTGCAGATCTCTGTTAGTTGTCTGTAATATTATGAACTATAATAAACTGATGAGAGTTTTTAATGTCTCTATATTTGAAAGCATTGTTTCTGGATCATATCAAATGGAAACCTTTGGTAGTCGCAGAGCATTTGTTGAGTAAGATGATGGTTTGGTGTTAACTGTGAACATCAGGTATGAAGAGTACGGAAGTTCCAAGCAGAGTAGCATGGAAATTCCTTGAATAAAATTGCGATCTAAGCTAAACCCAATTGGTCCAAGAGGTTGTTCAGGTGGTGGATCAGGCATTTCTGGGATCAATGGAAGATGTGAATGATGGACTACGATTGATGGCAACTAGCTAAATTCTGGTAGCTGATGTTGCAGCCATGAGAGATGAACTTCATCTCCCAATGGTTTGAAGTATATTTGTTGGTTCCAACTTGTTTGTAGGCCATCCTAATTGTAAATTAATGTCGTGATTTGCAAGAGGATTTGCTGCTAATCCCAAAGGCTGTTAAGATATCTGTTAATGGAAAACCGGGTGACATTACCATGGCTGGACAGTCTCTAGGTCTTGTCTTCGGATTGCATGTCAGCATGCAGGAACATGTCCAAGAAGAATTAGCTGGGCTTATCCGTTGCTTGAAATATAAAAAGCATGTACAGTATATTGATACAGGATTTTTTGCATTTGCAGCATCTCTGCAAACGGATTCTCTCTTTTTATTACCACTGTTTTCTGTCTGTGACATTTTGATTGTTTTTGCACATTATATAGTTAGCTAATCTTGTTCAACGATGACATCTCCTGTCTACCTCATGTTCTAGCTAATCTTCAGTGCCTGACAGTGAAGAAGAGATTGATGAGGAACGAGATTATGATCAAAAGTGACGTTTGATGAGGAGATTGCTGAGAAGGTAAGAAACAGAAACTTGAGCTGAAAATTGATGTTGACTTTTAGAAAGAAAAGTGGTATCTTGTTGGCCTAGTGGAATTATTAAGCCTAGGTAATACTGTGGGATCACCACCCTCTATTATTCTCAAAAGAAAAAGGAAAGAAGAAGAATAAGAAGAAAAGACACGAAGATAGTCACTTCATGAAAACTTCACTAGACTACATTTTGTATTAGGCATATTGTAGCTCAATAACATAAACACTAGTCTTGTTATTCAGAGCCATGTAGATTGCATAGATTAAATGACTGCTTATGGACTGGTCGAATATTTCCTGTTGATGCAAGTGACCATGAAAAGTGTTGCTCTAATATTTGACTATGACCACATTAAATAATAAGGCATTATGTATGACTATGATCTTAGAAGCATGCTAAATTTCTGGTTTTTGTGATTTTTCCATGTCAGCTAGGCAGCCGATAACTTGAAAAGTTGGTTGTAGCCAATTTCTCATTTTGTAGTGAAGTGTTTGTCAACTGATGCATATCATATGGTCTAACTTGTATTTTTGTTTTCCTTGGTCTTTGCTTGGTTTGCTCAACCAATGAGATCATTGCAACTAGAATACTGTGGTATGAATACATACCGAATTTCTCTATTTCTGCATCACGCATATGGCGCAATCAAGTCCCACAGAAAGTACTCGTCGGGATTGCAGGAAGCAGGCGTTATATGCTACAAAAGGGATTTGAATCAACGACACCTTTGAAAGGCATCCGAATGGTGGACAATGGTAAGGAGGTCGTTCTAATTGCTGTAGATGTGACTTGGAAATGTTGGACCACATCAATCGATAAATTGAATTGATCAAGAAATCAGAATTGAATGAGCCCAATCTGATCATTTCAGTTTTTATGACAATTACATTTCTGTTCTTGCAAATGCTGACAATAAAAAGTTATTGAGAACAAACACAAGATATTTTTCTTATGTATGTTGATGATCTCATTGTTACATGCAGATGCAGCTACACACTCCTTGTAGATCAATTCTTACCGACTCTCTCACGCAATTTTTTTTGTAAATATTTTGATGATATTCATTATTTCTTTAGTGTTGAGGTTATTTTAATATTTAAAGATTTTTTTTTTCTCAACATAAATACATCATAGACTTATATTAATCAGAACGTGTATAGTAGTGCAAAGGAAGTTTAAACTTGTGTGTCTACTTCAATATCTGAATCTTCTTCGATATATGGTGCTTATCTCAAAGTGTTATTGGAGCTTTTCAAGACTTATCTCTTATCCGATCAAATATTTCATTTAATATCAATAAAATTGTTCAATATATACATAATCTTACACAACATTGGACTATTATAAAGCAATTGTTATGATATTTGAAGAATATTTTACCATTTACATCAAACTCTTAGTTTATGTCTTATGTGATATTGACAAGACACATTATATATAATATTATTTCTTGGTATTTATGAAAGCAAAAATTGTTACACAATCTGTGACTGAAGTAGAAAATCAAGCTGTAGGTGAACTTTCATGCATCATATCTCTTATGTCTGAAATATATATATTTTATTAAAACATTCATCAATTATCTACTCTGACAACATTGTTATCATCTAATTATGCACAAACCCAAGTTAGATCAAATCAAATATTAGAGAAATCACATAAATTCTCTTTCGTGATATATCAAGAAAGACTGATTATAAATTAGTTTGCGACCTTTTCATATATTTTAACTTGTAATGAGTTTATTTGTTTTATCATATATAATCCATCAACCATCTTTATATAATTTTCTTCTATTATGCATTTTGATGTTCAGATTAGTGTAAATAGGTGTACAGTCATTGTGATGGATTATATAAGTTTATAATCCACCCTCCGTATAAGTGAATAGCAATCTTGCGTCATGTTCCTTTACATCCTTCGTGTGTGTGTCACGCGTCAATCCCACGCGCGTTTTCTACGGCCTGCCGCGGGGGACTACGAGTTTCTCTGGGAAGGATGGGCCGGTGGGTGTGTGTCGATCTCGCGTCCATTCAAGCCTCGTCGTGATTCGCCAAAGCAAAGGGGCCCGTGTGCAACCTCCCAATTAACTCCCGTCCTCAAGCGCACGAAAACGTTGAGAGAGTCGTCCCCGCAACTCCGCCCCATTTTAAATTACCGAGTCATCTATCTACCCACCGAGACGCCGTACTTGTTGAGCCTTTCTTTGCTGCTCTCCTTCCACCAGCTTCTTCCTGTCTTCCTCCTCCTCCTCCTCCTCCTATATCGCCTCTCTCTGTCTTCCTCCTCCTCCTCCTATATCACCTCTCTCTCTCTC